TATTTGTAACATTGAAACAAAGTTGTAATAAAATTAATTTTCTGTCCATACTAATTTGATCTTGTGTTTTTATTATTCATTTATACTTATACTGCAATTGAACAAAACGTTGTTGGCCGTTAGCCCAACAACAATTTATTATATTTATTACATTTTATTGACTAAAGTTTGATATTTTAAAGTTAAAAATATCTATGCATGTGTGTTATTGTTTTGACAGTATATATTAGGGATGTGCCTGTTTAACTAGGTAAAAATAGAAAAATTCATGAAATTGGATGTAAATATTTGACTATACATCAATATTGTTGGTTATAAGAAATTAGCAATTACAAAAAATAAGTAAAAGCTCGCTGATTTGCAAACCTATCATATTTATTTACAATGTGTAATATCGCTAAAATAAAATTATATAAGGAAGAGTAAGATAAAAATATAAAAATTTGATACGAATAACAAAATTATTGATATTGGTTAAAGGTTATTGTTATTAATAGTAGTTATTGTGTTTAAATAAATGCTAGACTAATACCAGGGCACGAGGCTTGAATGAATACTGGATTTATTATAAGTTATTTAGATTTGTGAAATTACCTTCCTCCTGATTGTCGGAGGGTTCTTGAGGTTGTGATTCAAGAATAATTAAGTACACAGTAATAATAAAATATTAATTATTATAAAAATTTAATATATATAATACAATATATAAAATTATATAAGTATATAAATATTGATGTGCATGCACCTTATCTTATTCACAGTTGTATTTGAATGCACAGTTGACGGAATAAGATAAATAAAGGTTTTTTATTAAACACTCAGATTAAAGGAAAATAACACTGTTAAATTTCGATTTAAAAAAGGAACAGTCCAGCGGTCGCTCGCAACGTCTGGTGTCGAAGTGTTTTTAGGTGCTCATGCACTGATGAGAGGAGACGACGTGGTTAAGCCAGCCGGAGTTGCAGGCAGCTCCGTCTAAGGCCTCTGCGTTTCCAAAGATTTACCATTATCCTTGGTGGCAGAGACCCTCATTGATCCATCCCTTGTCTCTGGCAGCACACAAAAAAGATCACACGTGCGGCGACACATTGTCACAACCACGTCTGGGTTCCTACGTGACCAGACAATCCAAATTGTTCCTTCCATCAATGATTAAATGAATTTTTTGGGGATTAATGGTTATCTATGTGCGACAACTTTACCATTATTTATTTTATTGAATAAAAATAATAAATATACAATCATGATATGTGAATGTTAGCATATCATTACAAATGGTATAGATTTTAATAAATAGTACTATTATGAAATAGTATTGATATTTTAAGTCTATAGTCTACCACAGCTTATTTTGATAAACAATATTATTAAATTGTAATAAAATAGAACAATTTTAATAAATAATTTTTAACTAAACAAACAATAATAATCATTTTGAAGATTGTTAATAATATTTTTACTTGTATATTTGATATATAATATAATGTATAATGTATAATATTTGTATCACTACTTTTATCTTCTGGTTAGGAATTATGTACACATCTAACTCGCTTTGGGCAAATCTACATTTATATTTTGATGAGATTATTAATATTGCACAATATTTTGTAAATCTAGTGAGCTTATATAATTACATATTATACTTATAKATCCATTAAAAGAACGATTATGAAAATATAAGTTATATAAAATTTTATTTATTGTTATTTATGTTTTGCTACTATAGTTGCTTAACATTAAGATAACACATATTATTAATTTTGCATAAAATAGGATTTTTTTGTACATAACAACACTTTTTTTTTTCTTTAGAGAAGAGAATATTACAAGATAGTGTGTAGGCTCAAAACAAACAGGCATACTTCAATACTTGTATAATTTAAAATAATATTGTCATCAAGTGATACATAAAATTGTAAGTTGTATTTTATAAAAAAATGAAATACAATAATTATTATATTATTTCTTAAAACTATGAACAGTAGATCAGTCCATAAAAGTATGTAATATTAGTATATTCATTAAATATTTTTATATTATTTTATTATACATTTATTTAAATAAAATAACATAACCATAATTTTTTCAGCTCTAAATACAATTGATAGTTGTATTAAATGATTATTAATTTGGTATATAATTAATAAACTATGTATGTAATAATAGTGTCAAATAATAATTTCTGCCAYAAAAACAAAATAATTAATGAGTAATGATAGTCTAATATACACCGTGCCACTGGGCACTGGGCAGATATATAACAATAGCACACATTTTGACATCAAGCAATAAATGCTAATAAATTAAATGTATTGATAAATACTAACAATAGTAACATGCTAATATAATATTATAATATAACTAAGGAATACATAAATGCAATACCTAACATAGTATATC